GAGCTCAATACACTGATTGTAAAAGTGGAACAAAATGCCGTGGTATTCAGTCAGACTTTCGAACATAGGGTGACTATGTCCAGCAGCCGTGATAATCGTCAGCATTCACGCACCAAAATGAGCAGTTGTCGTAAAGTGTTAGTGTTAGGTTCTGTTTGGGAGTTGACCTAGTCAAAATTATGGATTTCAACACCACCTTACTTTTCTTATTATCGGTCGTTGAATCACGTTAGGATAAAATTTGAAATGAATCATTCAGGTATCCGTCTTAACCCATGCTGAGTATTAAGATGAAGTTTGTCTGATTCAAGGTGTGTGGATCTGTTTTGGAAACTCTGATGCTGAGGCTGATTCTAGGTGGTCCACTGACAATACGCATTCCGACAAATTTGAAGTTAAGTGTAGACTGCCATTTTGTGCCTTGTTCGATGATAATGCATTACGTGCATAACTTGGTTTTCTGAATCCATCTATGGCATGCTTTAGTCGTTACAGGATGATAGGTCTTAATACTTTGCATGGGGTCGTCAGAAGCTTGACTCCACGCCAGTTTTTGCACAGGATTAATCAGTATTCTCTGTTGGTCTGATAAGATGTCGTTTCTTCCAAACAGTTAAAACCATCAACACCTGCAGCAGTGGCTTGAACATGTCCACTGAGATCTGTGAGTCCGTTTTCAGTGCACCTGGACAGATTCCGCCTGGTCCTACTGCTTTCTCGGCTTTGAACACTCAAGTATTCAATTTTTGTCCGACTATGTTTGTTCACATCCATGTGGGCCATCCGAGGTAGGTATCTGATTATTCGATAGTCTTGTGATATCTCTTTAACATGCAGTCTATTCTGCTCCAATCGCCAGCGTATTGTGAAAGCGTTGTTTGTCTTTCCTAGCACTTTTCTTCACTCATTTGTTCAGTGAGTTGTAGATTCTCCTTTCGTTGTTCATTTCTGCAATGGTTTATTTGGTGTTTCACCATCCTTCCCTCCTCTATAAGCCTTTATGTGTCCTCAGTGTGCGATTCTTTGTCCTGCTCCTTCTCCTTGCTTAAGATGTTTATACGTTACCTCGAATTACCAACTCGTTTAATGCGCGCAGATGTATGCAGAGTTAATCGTTCGCATTCGTTTCCCTGAGCTCTCCTGCCGTGTTTGTTGCTCCTAGCTTGGCTTGCATTCATATGAATTTATAGAATTTTGATAGTATTGCAGCGTCTTAATACTTCATCAGCTTTCCATTATCTGGTTAGTCAACTTCATTTTCTCTTGTGTCATAAACAAGTTCGTAAGGGTATGTGATAGCGTGGTTAACGTGTTACACTGTATCAGATTTACTAAACATAATGTGCTTAAATAACCGCTTAAGCAGTACATTGTCTAACCTGCAGCAGGTAGTGATAACAAAGTACGAATCAAAGAGGTTCAGCTATTTACAACTATGCCCAAATCAGCAATATACATGCGGAGAAAAAGGTTCTGGAATCTCTTTGTTTCTACTGGGCTACAGCAGTTCCGACTGAAGTACTGTGAAACCAGAAACCAGTGTAAAACTTCGATTCACCAGTCAAGGATAGCTTACGAAACCCAGTTAGTCAAAAGTTCACCAGGCTGCCCAAAAAGACTCTTCTCATATATCAAGAGAAGAACACGTAAGAGTGATGCTATCCCACCTCTTATGCTTGAAGATGACCAGACAAACATGGCTGAGGATAACTTGACTAAGGCTGAGGCTTTGTCCAAGCACTTTAGTCAATTATTCTCTGATAATATTGATACCAGCTTTGTAACTTTTCCAGAAGGTAACTTGAAAATGGCACCCTTATACATTGGAAAGGATACTGTCCTAAAGTGGCTTCTAAGGCTCAATCCTGGTAAGTCCAGTGGCCCTGATGAACTTCACTCACGTATATTAACAGCATTGGCTGAAAACATAGTCGAGCCATTGTCGGTAATCTTCGATATGTCTCTGGACCAGTCTAAATGTCCAAGAGACTGACTGAAAGATGCCATCATTAGTCCGGTCTTCAAAACCGGATCTAGAAACTTAGTTCAGAACTATCGTCCTGTTAGTTTGACCAGTATTGTTGTTAAACTACTAGAAAGAATAATTCGTGATGCTATCATCCAGTTCATTGAAGGGAACAAACTTTTCGCTGTGGAACAGCATGGTTTTAGAGCAGGTCATTCTTGCTTGACCAACCTTCTTTTGGCCAGAGAAAGTTGGGCAAGCTCAGCTGATGCTAATATACCGGTGGATGCCATATTCATCGACCTTAGCAAGGCGTTTGACAGGGTTTCTCATTCAGGTCTCCTAGTGAAGTTAGGTAGTATGGGAATCAATAAAGTGGTTGCCGACTGGATTCAAGATTTTCTAAAGGACAGAAGACAAAGAGTACGAGTTAACGGGGTTTTATCAACATGGGAATCGGTTAAGAGTGGCGTTCCTCAGGGTACAATCCTAGGCCCACTTCTTTTCCTGATTTATGTTAATGAGATTCCATCGGTAGTTAAGTCATCCTGCTTACTGGTTGCTGATGACATCAAGATATGGAGGGCTTTACAGGATGACAGTGATCAACTTGCTTTGCAGGAAGATTTAAACTTGTTAAGTGATTGGTGTAAGCACTGGGCCTTGGAGATTAACTTAAGCAAGAGTGTAGTTATGCATGTATCTCATAGTCACGTGCACAATTACTCAATGAATGGCATTACTCTCCCAGTGGTCACTGAGTACAAGGACTTGGGAGTGGTTGTGCAGCATGACTTGAAAACAGCAACAAACTGTAGAGCTGCAGCCACTAAGGATTTTCGAATATTATGGGCCATACGCAAGGCTTTTGCGAATTTTGACGCTGAAATATTTCGTATATTACATCCGACTTATATCAGACCTCATTTGGAATATGGGATCCAGGCAGCGAGTCCGTGTTTCAAATACGAAATAGACTTATTAGAAAGGGTGCAAACAGTAGGAACCAAGCTAATAAAGGGTTTCTCAACCCTCTCATATGAAGAGAGGTTAAGTCGACTGGGTTTATTTCCACTGTCATACAGACGACTTAGGGGTGACCTAATACTAGCATACCGTATCCTAAGAAATGATTTTGGAGCAAATTTATCTAATTTATTTCTTCCTTCTAGCACCAACCAATTGCGAGGACATCACCTCAAGGTTCAAAAACCACGGTCGAATCGTCTGCGTTTGGAGATCCGTTTTTCGCATCGGATTGTGAACCATTGGAACTCCCTACCGGAACACGTCGTATCAGCGCCATCCGTTGATTCATTCAAGGCGAGATTGGACCTCCTGTGTGTAACAAATCGAAAGGATTAACACAGGCATATAGCCTACTATCCTAAATAAGTTGTAAACTGTAAACTGAATAGAATAAATATTAAAATTATTTGGGGCAAAGACTTTAGTGACTTGTCTCGCTAGACTAGCTGAAGTACAGATTTCGAGAATGTGCGTGTAACCTGCACAAAAGGAGGTGCGAAATTGCGTCGGAGACTGGTCAGCTGCGTACTTATTACAACAAAACCCAAAGCATCCACAGGCGGGTTAAGGGTTTATTTAATTAGTTCAGTTTGATCTATTTATCTTAGCCGTAGGTTTATTTTCGTGCCGTTGAAGTTTCACGGAAACATCTTTCCAACAATACTAGGGAGCTTCCTCGTTGTCCTCCTATTCATTCAGTTATGAAATGCCTGAGGAATGTATTCAAAGATATTATCTGGAATGTGTATTTTGAAATCATCTTGTTTAGTACAATAAGGTGAATAAATCTAAGGGATAGATAGATGTTCACCTGTGGAATGGAATTTGCAGATGATAAAGTGGGTTTCAGCATCAAAAGTTTGTTATAGTATTTATTGCTTGGTAATGAATGAAATGAGCCACTTTTAAACAACATCTGGATTAAGCATTTCGCAAACAGGGGGATTTGTTCCTCTAGATCTAAGTATCCAAGACTAACTTCACTGTCTTACTTATTCATTAGGTAGTATGGTACTGTTTGTCGATTTGCCCAAACTAGTTATTGGAGAGGAGTACGGTGGAAAAATCTTGATATGAATTTCCTTGAGTACCGCTAGTGGTAGCCAAGGAAACCACACAAGTTTGCTCCTTCAATGACTAATTATAGCGCCCTAATACTTAACACGATTGAAGATTTCCGACATTAGAGTTTCACTTGCACTGCGATTGAAAGGTAGGAATTATAACATTATATTCAGTGAACTCACGTATAATTTCATGTTGGTTTAATTATGTGGTAAACTCAAAAAAGACTTGTTATGTTTTTATACATTCAGACCCATAGATGCGTGCCTAAACTGATTTGTCATCGAGGTGTGGGTTGCCATAGAACCTGTGGTACTCACTCCATAGAAGATGACTGTTACTGATGTGTCCCGTGTTTATCTGATACCTGTTTTCGTTTCACAAATCAACACTAGTCCTTTGTTTGATAAGTCTATTTTTGATATAGTGCAAAGTTACAGAGTGTTACCAGTCGTATATTATGGTTGTGAAGGTAGCGCTGTATCACGAATTGACAGATAGTTAGCATTCACAGGTCATTAGATTCTAGCCACAGTGGCTGGATGGTTAGCGAGCTTGGTTTCGTAGCCTGAAGATCTCTAGTTCTACTCTCGGTGAGCACTGTGAAGAGTCCCGAAAGAGGACGAAACCTCTGTCTAGTGCTCCTTGGTTTTCAATGATGTCTCTAGCTGACGTTTATCCGCGACGAAGACCCAACAATTGACAGAAATATCTAGCATAAGGACTAACATCACCACCAGAATGTTTCTAATTTGTAATACTAACCTAATTTTTATACTCAAAGAAAAGCAAAGACAGCCTCGGTTACCTAGACCACACACTTAACACCTTGGCAAATAAGTATATTGATCAGTCACAGCTGAGATTTAATCAACCCTTCAAATCCAAATAAGATGCTAAATACATTTTTGATAAAAATAATTATACAATGAATAGTATGATTGCAATAAAAAAGTCATACATCAACTGATATTGTATTTTGTGTCATTATAGAAAACATCGGTCTTATAATATGAAATATCTAATGAAGTAAAGGGTAGAATGTTTTAAAAGAATACAAACACAATATACGTGTGCACTGATAAATGCATTTGGCTAGTTAATTGATTCCTTATCAGAAGTTGTCAACGTCTTAAAAGCTTCTCCACTATTTAGTTGAGTTAAGCAACCGGGACATGAATGGATAGAATCGTGTAGAATAGCGTCACATGAATGACAGAATGTATACTGACATTTAGGACATTTGTAGGCAGGAACTTTAGATGGTATAATTACATCACATGCTGTGCACACTCGTTTATTAATATTAGTCGAATCTGCCTCTTTCAAGTTTTTATCACTTTCTTGTAGTTTTTCACTTGGGCTCACTATTTCAAACACATCTAATGGGAACAGATGATGATAAGCGCGAGCTAAATGGGGTGCAGCAACAAGTGTCAGACCACAGACATTACACTCGACAGGCAATTCACAATAGGCAGCATGACATCGAGGACAAGCATAGTGTGGTTGTGTGTCATTTTTCTCAACAAGTGATTTACTGGACAGGTGACACATACAACGTTTAATAGCAAACCGATCAAGATCAAAGGTTTCTGAATGCGGGAATCCCATTCGAATAAGATTGGCATCAGTTTCAACAGCGGCCACTGGAGGAGGAACTAAATCTTTTAAAATACTCCTTAGATGTACTTCATCCATGATAACATGAAATGTTCCTTGAGTAAGTTGTGCAAGAGCACGATAAACAAATACTTCTACGGCTAATGATATAACAGAGCAGCGTATATTATTAGATGATAAACTTTTAATTGTTTGATGTATATCACCAGGATCACATGTAGTTAAGCTGGCTATCAATACTACAATTTCATTGTGATGAATTGTATACTTTAATCTTGATTCAGCTAATAATAAAGCATTCTGAAGACTTGGTTCACCAATACATGTACGTGTATAGAGCGATTGTAAAGCGGCAAGATGTGGTCTTGGATTACCTGATAGTTCAGTTAACCGTTCAGCTTTCCTATCCGATGTTACTATAATACCTAACTGACTGATAGGATTCTGATCAAAATAATCTCGAACAAATGCACAAGCAGCCTTAATTGTACAAATTAAGCGATTCGGTTTCAAATCTTGTTCATTCATTGCTTGGGACAGATCCACAATAAGAAACAAATGTCTCATCATTCCTAAACGTACAAATCCTAAAGATCCAACACCGATTCGTTTACGCCTTTTTCGTATTTGTGCATGTGCATCATGTACTAATTGTTCTAGCGTTGTAACTAAACGTCCTGACTCATCTTCCCGTATAGCACTCCATGTTTTCTCGTAACCTGATTCCCATCGAAATTCTTTTTTACCACCTTGTATCATAGTGTTCATCGATGTTTTCTACAATGGAGAAAAAATGATGTCGTTTAATAGTTTGAAAAAATTTAGTCATTGGATATATATGATATTCATTATTATGAAAGTTCTTTTATTTCCCAATGAACGAAAAAACAAAGCGATAAGAAAAGAAATCAGCTAATGCATAATTTTTCTGTTACAGTTCGTGTTTTCTAATTCCACATAAACTGCTTATGTCAGCTAGTAGCTCACTGTGTTGTTGTTTAGAAACTGGTTTTAAAAAGTGATGTGTGGTATTTCATAATTAACATTGATACCTTTTCCTCAAAATATTAAAATACTTACTAAACATATGTAAACCACTCATTGAGTAAAAGAAGCTTATAGTGATAAAGTATCATTTAATTATCTACGAATTAGAAAGAATTGATAAAAAATATAAAGGTAATAAGTGCACAACAAATACGTACTGCATTGGTACTGTACTTTTGAATATCTTTTAACGACTAGTAATTTTTTATCATTCTAAATTAAGCCATACACACATTAACAACAACTCCCACCTATTATATATATATATATATATAAGTTACACTTGTCTAGGTAATAATGTGAAACTCAGTAATCATCGCATGGATTTCAAGTGAGACGTCCTGACCAATGGCATCCAATGGGTCGGGTGTGAGGACAAGTACTCGTTAATGATAATGAATGGCAGTCAAGGTAAAATCGCGAATTGACATAAGTTAGAAATCATGGGCCATAACATTTTATCCTAGCGGCTGGATCGTCAACGAGCTAGGCCTCGTAAAATCAAGGTCCTGGTGGCGTCGTGGTTGCGGGCTGCCGAAGACTCCTAAACTAGGAAGAAACGAATATCCAGTACTCTCTTGTTCCAATAGTTCTCTAATTGATAACAATCCATGAAGAAACTTGACATAAAAACATGCGTATTATGTGTATATATATATTTCAACGTAAGAATAAATATACTAGTCTTGTTTTCATAAGTATACATATTCAAACAAAATCAGTTGATGAGAAGTCGAAATACAACCAAACAAAACTAGCGGCAGTATCATTAAAAACAACACAATAATAATCATTGTTATTATTATTATTATAGTGATAATGATAATCAGTTAAAATGGTAAGAGAAAGAAAGAGGAATTGTTTTCTGAAATGCTGTGCTAGTCTTTACTTTAACGGTCGGAAGGTATGCAGAAAATTAACACACACAATGGGTGGATAATATATGGAAATCCACCTTGGAATGAGGTCGTTACTATCATTCATGTATATATATATATATATATATATATATATATATATATATATATATAAAGGAATAAAGAAAACATTAAATACTAAAAATAAAATGCATGAATAAAAGTAAAACAGAAAAAAAAGAAAGAAAGAAAGTCATAATATGAGTCATGATGCATACAACATATTTAATCACTAGTCTATTATTATTATTATTTTTATCATTACTATCCATAATATAATGGGAGACTGTACATAATTAGAGAAAGATTATTTGTGAACAAGTCATGAATGGCTGCTGCTAGGTGTTTTCCAAAATATCTCTATTTTTCTTTCGTATTTTCTTTCCTGTGGTAGTTTTCTATGAGAAAAGGCTTCTCCGACGATCTTCAAACCGTCCTAGAAGAATAAAAGAAGTAATATAGACGGATTTTAGAATAATCCAATGACTTATGGATTTACTGGTAAGATAAAATCCCATATTGTTAGCTAAAGACAAGATTATATCTGGGTAAAATTGAAAATTTCTAGGTGACTAAATTCGTTGCACTGACGATTATTCAATCTCATATGTGCTAAAAGGAAGACTAATATTACTGCAAAAACAGCTTAATGGTTGGTGGTGATTAGAATGAATGGTACCGCCAAAATAAGAGTGATTTTGACTAATGGACTTTCATCGAGTATGTATGTATTGAGCTACTGAGTGATTAGTTCAAGTTTTGTTTGTCAGATTAGAAAAATATGATTACGTATATAACATTCTGATTGACCTGTAGTAAGTTGAACTGTTTAACTATTATTTCTAAACTTTCAAGGAATTTTCAAGTATTGGTTTTGTAGAAATTTTGTTTAATCGGATGGAGGATTTCATCATGAGATGACATCAGTTAGAAAACCACTGGAAAACCTGGGGGTACTGGACAGTTTGGGACTCTTCGCCAAGACGCATCCACCGGGTTTCGAAACCTTCTGGTTAAAAGGCGAGCTCGTAAACCATTGAGCCACTAGGATCCGATTCAATGACCCATGAATTCTAACTTCCGCCAATTCATGACATAGCGCGACCACTTCGCAATGTCCTCTTCGATGAGTTACTGTGTGCTGACGAAAAAAACAGCTGTCCAGTACTCCCAGGTTTTCCAATGGTTCTCTAAAGATAAAATGACGCGCACTAAACATTATTTACTGTATAAAAATCTTTAAGATACCTTTATATACAAAATTAAGATTGTTTTTTCCTCAGTTTTGGTATTCATCAGAACCTAGCAACATTTGAGTTCCCTATTGGAAATGAATATTTTTCCATAGAAATCACAACAGGAATCATAGATTTGTGCCATTCTTTTGCTTAATTACCTTAATCTTATTTCTGCTTCAGATAAAGCAACGTAATAAGGTTGGAGATAACTTGATGTGTCTTACGTGGGTAGTGGTATTATTATCAGTTATCGCAAAATAATTGTGGCTGAAAAATCAATTTCGGGTAACCTATTTATGAACTAACTTAACTCATGTAGCACATTCTTATGACTTATAACTTCATCAGTCCATTTGCTAGTTTCGCATAATACTTTTTGTTCACTTGACAATCAGCTGAAAACAATCTAGCCTACAGTATCATATATACCTATTCCACCAGATTGCGAGTGGTACATAGAGCTTCAGCAGCACATCTCCGTTTCACTCTGTTCTCTGCAATCCTTTTAAGCTGGCTCCACGATTGTTCATAAGTTTTTATTTCCTCCTCACAGGATCTCTTCCATGTACCCTCTAATCCAGCGCCTAACTCGTCTTCCTTTGAAGTTCCACTCGACAGCCTGGCGAATGATGTCACTTAACAATCTTCTCAGTGCATTTCCAATCGGCTGAGAGTGTTGAGACAGTTGTTCCTCAATCCCATATACAATCAAAAACCTTGATAAATGCAGTGGTATACAGATATGACATCCACAGACTAGGAGATGACTGCTTGGATATGAGGGTCAAGACTCCAAATGTGAAGTAATCATTTAGTAATACTTATTTGGCAAGAATATATATAAGTTTCCGTAATGCACTGTAACAACATACTAGTCAACAAATCGCAAAAATATTATTTTGAATAAAGTTACATTAAATAACACATGAAATAACTTAAAATATTCAAGGTGGCTTCAGTCATCAGACACTAGGAGCTAAAGAACCTCAGAAAACTAAGGGACATGGAAGGAGGGGAAAAACCAGTCTTGAAATCAAGCTAAATGCTGCCAGTTTAATGCCTTAGAAATAGTGCATTATTATTTTTTTGAAGCATCAAGCTAAAAAGATACATGTGAAAAATAAATGTGGTAGTTACCCGAAGATTGTCGTCCAATATTTAACCAGCTAGAACGATTAACTGCTTGAGGCTTATAGCTAATAGTTGTCGGTTTCATTTGACAATGTCCAGACATTGATTTTGGTGGACTGATAATATTAATTGCGTTAACAATCGGTTTAGAATTTGTAAGAGTATAACTCGATTCGAATGCTGTTGACAGTGGTCGACGAGATCCACTATCTGCGTGTAGCAGACCAACGGTTGGCTGGTGGAAATATGCCTGTATCCCATACATTGAATTAGATGTTGATTGATGGGGTGGTAATGGAGGGGGAACATTACCGATAGCATGGTGATATTTGGGGTAGAAATGGTTATTATGGTTATTATTATCGATAATGTTATTGTTAGCAGCAGCGGTATTATAACTATGAAGTTGAGGAACTTTACCATTAGTACAATTTAACAATGGTATTTGATTAAGGTGCTCTTGATTACCTCGATACATAACGAAATTATTCATTTCTGTTTGTGGTTGACTAAGTTTTACTTGAGAACTATTAACCCTTGAATTAACATCACCATTAAGTCCATTGGTGGGGAAATAATTCGATCCATTCAGTCGACTTGTGGGTAGGCTAGCACTTCGTCCAGGATCACATGCTAATCTTACCCCAGGAACATCAAATATACTTGAAGCTGGTGGTAAATTACTAAATGTTGGAAATGGAAACCGGGATGATTCAAAAAAGTATTCATGTTTCAATGCATTAGCGGCTGAGATTCTTTGATTCCCAGGAAATATCAACAATTCTTCCATTAGTCGATGAGCACGACGAGATAAGCGTAAAGTTAAATGATGAAGACCGCCTGGTTCACCAGGATATGGACCATATTTAAGCGCTTTACTATAATCAGGATGAGTTGTAACACCTGGCCAATTACTTTCATTTGGAGTGCCTATAAAAAAATGTATCAATACATGTGAAAAACCAATATATATATATATACTGAAGTAAAAACAAGTATGATTTTTCTAATTCTAATGATACTGTACTGACGACCGACTGACTGAGTTACAAGATAGAACTCTGTAAAGAAGCGTACTTCTTATTTTCAATTTGCCACATCTCATGTAGACAAAAAGGAGAAAAACGGGTTCAAAAGTACTATAACAAACGGAAATGTGAGGGGGAAAGAATAGTAAAGTGGAAGAACCATGACGGTTTAATGGATATGAGAGATTACAAAGAGTGAATGCATCTCAACCATTGACAACGATTTTGAGCCATATTACCAATAGTCTCAAGCTATTGGTTCTTAGCATCCTGATAACCACAATCAGATAAGCTTACATCTTCCTATGAGGTTCAAACTAAGCATCAAAGATTTGGTATTTCTATTTAACGGAAATGGTTTTACAAATTGACCATATTGTCTACGTTTTCATACATCAAGGTATCTTCTAATTCTCT